GAAAGAGTGAGACCTTTTAAAGCCGCCAAGCCGGCAGGCTTCCAGCAGCAGTCTGGGAGTGAGCAATCAGCAGAGCCACCAAGCCGGGCGGCAGGGCATCGGGCCTCGCGTTTCAACTTCTGTTCAGTTCTCCTGTAATGGAAAATCGCTTCGCCCAAAGCCAGTGTTACAGTTCTTTCCAGCGCCCCTCCCCCCGCCCCACCACGCCCCTCGGCAGCCTCCTGATCAGAGGGACAGCGCCCGCTGGAAAGTGGAAGGAGGGTAGTCGCCGCTTCTTACTATGTCCCCTGCTTCAGGCCCTGGGCCCGGGTGGTTACTCTTTTCCTTTGGAATGGGACTGGTTTCAGGGTCAAGGTGTCCAAATAATTGTCAGTGTCAAGCGCAAGAAGTGATCTGCACAGGGGTCCAGTTAACTGAATACCCCTCTGACATACCCCTGAACACCCGGAGGCTGTACCTGAATGATAACAGCATCCGCTTTTTGCCAGCGATGAATCTAGGACTCCTCAGTGACCTTGTTTACTTGGACTGTCAGAAGAACCTGATTCAGGAGGTGATGGATTATACCTTCGTCGGGGTCTTCAAACTCATCTACCTCGATCTCAGCTTCAACAATTTAACCTTGATCTCCCCATACAGTTTCTCCATGCTCAGCAATCTGGTGCAGCTGAACATCTCCAGCAACCCTCATCTGTTATCACTCAACAAGTACACCTTTGCCAACACCAGCTCTCTGAGGTACCTGGACCTCAGAAATACCGGCTTGCAGACCTTGGACCATGCTGCCTTCCATAACCTCATAACACTCCAGACCCTGTATCTGAGTGGAAACCCCTGGAAATGCAACTGCTCTTTCCTGGACTTCACCATCTACTTAATAATGTCCCCTCTGAACCATCCAGGTGAGGACTTGATTGGGTGTGGGGATGAGGATGTGATGGCATAGGAGGAATTGGTTCCAGAAAAAGTGAAGTCAAAAGATGGTCAGTGTGGGAGAGATACCTGGGTAAAGTTGATTGAAAGCGTTCTTATTGCTCTGCAGGATCCATCCTTGGGTTGACTGTAGAGGCAGTAAGGACCAGTAGAAAAAGTTGTAGAATAGCCATCCAAATAGCTGAGTTCTGCTCCCACACTCAGCCCTTACTACTTGGCTGTCCTTGGGGAAGTCACAATTTCTCTGTGCCTCAGTTTCCTGATCCATAAAGTAGGGACAGTATTACCAAACATACAGAGTTGTCATGTCAACAGGAAATGATATGTGTGGAAATGGTAAAGTCCTGTAACTGCAAAGTGACAAAGAAATACAGGGACACTGTATTCCACTGGTAAACTATTTTAATCTGTTTAAGTCAATGACTGACTTTTTTCAGGATCTAAAAGTAAATTCAGCCATTCATGGCCAGCAGAAAATCCAGTGGTATGATATACAGAAGGGAAAGTTCAACAGAGACAGCGGAGGGGCACGTGAGTGACCTGGACATGAATGAGAGAGAGAGAAGAGAAGGCATTTGATATCTTCTTTGTCTTCAGATGCTAACCTCACAAGGAAAGAGAGCACGGCATGAATGGGTGGAGAATGGACCACCAGTGTCCACTGTGTCAAGCAGGGAGATTCCAATCTCACAGGCAGACTCTCAAGTCTTACCTGGTAGAGTTCCAAGCCAGTTGCTGCCACTCTATCCACTGTCCCCACCCCTCTGCCATGGCCCCTGGGGCACTCTGGTGCCTCATCCCTTCTTCTTTAGAGTGACTTTACTGTCCCATTCTCATCCTTCAATTCCCCCACTCCACCAATACCACTTTCACCCAGGGAAGTCAGAGCTCACAGAAAGCCTGGAGGCACTGACATAATTAAACCCTATCAGAACCAAGTCTTCTCTGCCTTCCCTGGGTGTGTGTTTTTGAAAATATTTTCATGCAGTAGCTTCACAAA